GTTTGTCATGTTTCGCCTTTCTTTTGCGTTCTCTTTCTTCCTCTTCTAATCTCAATTTTTCGACTTCTTCACGTTCACGTCGTTCTTCTTCTTCTTTCAATCGCTGCTCTTCCTCTTTTCTCAATCTTTCTGCTTCCTCCACCTGCAAACGACTGAACAAAGAAAAAGGAAGCGAAATGCAATGGACAGAAAAACAAAGCGAAGATGAATTTGGGACATCTAGTGAAAACATACGTTCTCTGCGCCAGAAGGGCAATTCCGGAAACTGCTTTTGACTTGGGGGCCGCAGTGGTGTCCTCTGTTCGATTTTTTGCCGCTTGTTTCTTTTTCTGTTTTTTCAGCCGGTTCTTTAGCGTCTTCGAACTCACTCCTTGTTCATTTTCATCCCCACTGCTTTCCTCTGCGCCGGCGGTAGGCACTTCGGACTTTTCTTTTTCTGTTTTTGCCTCATTTTGTTGCTCTTGCACTTTTTCTTCTTTCGGTTTTTCTCCTGCAGGTTCTGTTTTTGCAGGTTTTTGTGATTCTGGAAGAACTTCGGCTAGAAGCGCATCGAGGTCGTCGTCAGAATCTTTGTCAGCCTTTTTTGCACCTTTTTTTGAAGCTGCTGCTTTCCCTTTTGCCTTTGCTTTTGGTTGAGGTATCTCCCTTGGGGCTTCAATCTCTGCTAATAGATCGTCAATATTTGCAAGTTCCTGAACAAACACGCATTCTGATGCACCCAAGAAAACGAGACACCTGGAACCCCACCTCTGCCGCTTTCGCTTGAGGCTTGGCTTTGGCCTTGCCTTTGGCTTTCGCCTTAGCTTGCACAGGTTCCTTCTTCTCTGGTTCAATTGGCTTCGCGGGAGCCTTTTCTGATTCGCTCTCACTTTCTGATGAGCCTGAGGAAGTTTCCTCAGAATCACTCTCGCTACTTGAATCAGATTCTTCAGAAGACGAACTTGAGACCGCAAAGCCCTTGAATTTTGTTGTGGGCTTCTCTTCCTCTGACTCGGACTCGCTGCTGCTCTTGTCTTCTATAGGAACGGGCTTGGAGAATTCTTCATCTGAGCTCTCGGTCTTCTGTTTTCGTCCCTTTTTTGGCGGCATCCTGAACTCTGAATATTCAGCCAATGTCCAGCACCACCATCTGTCACAAACTTCAGTCATACCTACTTTTGTAATTTGTGCATAAGAAGAGAAACAAGGGCATTCCATGATTAACTGAATGAAAATGGTTCGAAATCGGAAACCAGTACCACTTGATAATTCTAAAAAAGCTTCTCTTCCTCGAAATTCTGATTCATCTGTTCGGAAGAGGCGTTCTCAGGAGGAAGACCTTCGAACGAAGAAAAAAACGATTAAAAGAATTATCCCAACAATCATGTGCTCTGATTATCGAAGACACTCCTCTGAATTCGACTCATGGGGGGGATGGGAATGTCGCGGTGGATGGGAATGTCGCGGTGGATGGGAATGTCGCGGTGGATGGGAATGTCGCGGTGGATGGGAATGTCGCGGTGGATGGGAATGTCGCAATTCTGCATTCCAACGAGCCCGTCTATTTGATTCTCAGTAAAACGCCACTCGTCACAATTGCATCACGAGACTCGAAAGAATATTTAACGTTTACTTTGTTCGTCGCTCGAAGAACAGAAGCGATTACATTCACGCGAATTCGCTTTTTTGATAAACTCGCTGAAGAACTCGCTCGTCAGATCAGCCCCGGAGATCTCATCATCGATAGAGAAGGAGCAATGTCCTTGGAGGATCCCCGCGGTTTCTCCGTAGCCGCAGCAACTCAAACATCGGAGTGGTGTTCGAACAGGCATTCGACTCGAACGCTGTCTTTGTCAATCGGGACAGGATCAGAAAATGGGAATTTTCTTCTGAACTCTTGGACGCCCATTATAGTATCCATTAGAACAAACATTAAGATTTGTTCACTTTGTAATCACTTCATGATCACACAAGTTCAACCATCGATAACCAATCCGTCCCTTCTTCCCTACTCCCGGCTTCTTTCCTCGTTTCAAGAGCAGCATCCCATTCACATGTGGGATTGTCCTTTCCCTATAAGGGAGGATCCTCGCATCGATGGTTGGGACATCTTCTCCTCCCGCTACCCTCCCCTCTCGAACGTGACGTTAGACTATGAGAACAGTTTCTATGGAGTCATTACAGATGTCTCAAAAGTGGCTCATAAATCAAAATTACCAAAAATCGGAAATGTCGCAGTTTTAAATGTTGATGTCGTTGATCCTTCCCTTTCCATTGATTTCAAAAGTGCGTTGATTCCTTCAAATCCTGCAAAGTAAGAAATTTTTCTAATAGTGAAACAACTCTGATGGGATTGACAGAGAGGTTGATACTACAATGTAGGAAGGTTGATACTACAGTGTGGGGTAAATAGGGGATGATGGAGTCATTAGTATCAATTATCGGACATATATAAATTATCGGACATATCAATTATTGATGAAGTAGAGTTTATCTAGTTATGCTCTTGTTCTTGTGTAGAGTGAGTGTGATGATTGTCGCTGAAACCATCGAGAATCTTCCTCTAGTAGAAGCGGGATCCTTGATACGTGCACATCGAATGATCATCAAGGGACATCAACAGAAACAAACGCTTGATGTCTTTTTGGATTGTTTGTACGATAAAAGGATTTCGATCCGAATCTGGGATGCCAAAAAGTTTTCTCAAGAGGTTGAAAATTTATCGTCAGAGGAGGTAGATGCTTGGATAGAAGAAGCTTGCAATCCTGTTTGGTGTTCGCAACATCCAAAAATAGAGATTCCTGGAGTCAAAGTTGTTTGGAGCCCTGAGGAGCTAAAACCGCTAAACGAACATGCGTGGAACCGCTTGAGAGCCTGCGCCAAGTGGGTGGATGAATCATTGACAGGATATCAATGTTTCTACAATCAGTACACGATGGAACTCAGAAAATGGATAACTTTGGGACGTAGCTATCAAGATATTGTCGTCAAAATTATAGATATCGAAGATTCGAGTGAAATGTTCTGTCAACCTCATGGCAATGGGATATTCGATACTCAAGACTCATCATTGTATTCATCTCAGCGGATTGCAGCTTCCCAATTTGCACCAAACATTGGACCAGCAAACCGGTTGAGCGACAGTTATGGAGATACAACATTTCGAATCAGGGTTTCTGATGCATCTTATCCTCAGTCTTCTACAAGCGAGAGCAGTTCAGGAAATTGTATTATTTACGCCGATAGTGATGATAATGAGACGCTAGTGAACGACCCATCAGATCTTGATGATATTTGGATTCTTACAAATTTTCAATCATGGAGCCTCCCACAAATTAAAAAGTTGCAAGTTGGGGATTGGATCAGAGTTCGAAACGCGGAATATAAAGGGCCTCAAGAATTAACAGGACGGACTAAATTTTTACCTGAATCTCGTAGACAATGGGAATTTCTTTTTGTCGATTGCTATCGCGCGAAAATTATCAAAATTCCTGAAAGGGCTCAGAAGCCAGCCTCAAGCCTTAATCCGGATTAATCTATTTTTTGAGCTTCCTGGAGTGTCTGCAATAGGTTTTTATGTATCAATATGCCTATCGTTTTTTCAAGATTTTTGAATATGTGTGTAGAGTGGTTCCACAAATCGTTCAAATTTCTCGCAATGCTTCAATGTTTCTCTGTATTTCAATATTTGAATGCTTTTTTGTAGCCCCTGGACGCCTCAGGTGTTTCTTCTAGCCTTTCTTCTTCTACCAACAAAGTCGCAACGTCATCTCCAGGTTTATCAAATTCCTCCTTTAGCTTTCGTTCTACCTTCTCACCAGACAGACCATCCACCAGCTGAACATTTTGCGTGTCGCCCTGTAGGGGAAAGGTGTCTTTTTAACGGAGATTGTTGCGACGTGTTGTGCTTTCAGTGGATCTGCTCTTTATCACGTACTTCGCGCATGTTTCTTTCTTCGTAGCAAAATATGTTGTCTGTATTCAAGAATAACATCTTTGGTTCAGCACTTTCCTCCGCTGGTCAAGTTCAACAGCGGGTAAGCATTCTTTCATTTATACTTTTGCATCCTTTTGGTTTTTAAAGGAAATTGATTGGTTTGTTTCCAACTATTGGATACTAGCGTCTCAGGCGGCCCTTCTATCAGGATTCGCATCGCAAGCACTTGCAAATATCGACTTATCGCTACAACCGTCGTATCTGTTTGGGACTCTTCAAGCTGCACTTCTCACTACTGCCTTAATGAGTCATCTTTACGTCATTGTTGCGTCCAGTTTCGCGTGTCTGTGGGCGCCTGCTCTTGCGTTAAGGGGGCCGAAGGGCATCGAATCTGCTCGGGAAGCAAAGGAAACGCTTGAAGAGCTTCTGCATGGAATTCTGGGAACACTTTCACTAGGTACGAAATCGAGACCAAACAAGCGTAAAACTTTCTTCTTGTAGGCTTGTTCTCATTCATTCTCTCTGGTTTAATCTCATTGGTTGGATCCACAAAATCTGAAAAAACTGCCAATCGATCAATTCTGGTTGTTGTAATAACAATTATTATTGTTCTTGGGAGTATCATCAATTCGATGCGCCTTTTTTACCACGGCAGGTAAGATGCGTTCTCACCAGCATGCATTTTACTCTTTTTCTATCTAGATCTTGTGACGTTGCCATTAGAATTTTAGAAACTGCTGAAGGCATTGGAGACCTTGATAATATAGAGTGTTCCTTATATCAGCAAGATCCATCAATAGGGGAGCATTTCTTACTCCATCCCCCATGAGCATCATGCAATGGATAACTATTCCATACCTGGTGGCTTCTCATTCACAAGTCTCGCACTCAAATGTCTGTTTTTTTTTCGACCGTAGGAGCTGTTGTTTTCTGGTTCTCCATTTCACTTGCATTAATTCACGCCAAATACTGCTAGTCAATAGATAATGCATTACTTACATTTCCACCTTTTATTTGTTGCAACAATCGTTGTCGCATCCCCGCAAAATGGTCTTAACACCGTGACTCAAATCGTTAAAAAAAACAAGGTCAGTGAGAGGGTCAACAGTTTGAATTTGTTCTATCCGCTTTTCTTTAGTCGTTGTCAAAGTTGGAGTCCTTGCTGCGGGAAACAGGTTGGTCATCTGCTTTGGATTCTTTTCCCACCGGAAACGCTCCATTTTTAGAATTGGGTTTCAAACTTGACCAATCAAGGGACCTTACATATTTGGCTCCCGATAATGTTGCTATTGAGGAAGCGTCATTTGATCAGGTAATGAGGCACTTAGGGGTGCTTTGTACTCTTTGTGTGCCTTTTTGCAGCTTGGCAACTACCTTCAATACAATGAGGCGCTGGATGTTCTTTCAAACCACATCATTCCCCAAACAGTGAAAGTGAGAACCATTATCAGTGACGGATGACTGACTCCTTCTTCTTTCTCAGATTGGAGAGCTCTGGGAAGGAGAGCATCAATTCGAGACACTGGCAGGTTCAGAGTTAACAATTCGTATAGAGAAATCCAAAGCACCAGAAGGAATTGCCGCAACACGGGCAATTGTTTCTGTCGAAGATGGTTCAATCGCAGCCCCTGTTGATCTCAACAACGGGATTGAAACAATCAATGGAATGGTCTACATTGTCTCAAAGCTGCTCGTTCCTGAGAGTTTGCAACCAGTTGTTGTAGATGCACGTAAGAAGTTGGAATCGGACACAGCTCACGATGAAGGATTCGATGTTCCGAACCATGTGAAGGAAACGAATAGGGCTCACTGGCCAGAGAAAGATGCGATAGCTCCACCTCTCGTGCATCTGCCGTCTGAAGCTCTCTCAACAGCTGAAGTAAGCTGTAGAAACCCCTCAACATTTTCTCAACTTCGTATCTCTTAACAGGTGTTTCTGGAAACAAATGCAGAAAGGATTGATGTGGGAGTGTTGAACAGAGAGGGTTATGACGGTGTGAAGCACACTGAAGGATTGCTCGGAACTCGATTGACTCTCAATATGAGAACGTAGTACAAATCGTACTCAAATTTGTTATCAAATCGTACTCGAATTTGTTGAATTTTTTGGATTACAGAAAATGCTTTTAAGGTAACGCTCGAGCGACTGTATACAATCCAATTATTGTAATTGAGTGTACAGTCCAGTATTTCTCGCAATTATTCTCACAGAAAGATGAACGATTCTAATTGAACAGGTTGTACAGACTTGTTGTACAAAAACCAGTGACAACTAAAAATTGACTGGTTTTTGTACAACATTACAGCAAAACAATTTGAGCGATAAATTCTAAAAATCAATTGGCGACAACAATTAAGAAATTACCGTCGATAGGAGTCAGTTGTGGTTTCAGCTTCTGTTCGAGTTAGCTGTTCAGGCGGGTTTTTTTGTTGTTTCGGATCCTCCTTAAATTGTATCAACGGCTCATTGCTTCCCTGATTGCTTCCCTTACTGCTGCTCTCACTGCTGCTCTCACTGCTGCTCTTACTGCTTGATGCTTCTTCTTCTGGATCGCGCTTCAGACTCACTGATGGCTGCAGGGGATTCAACAATTCAATTCCAAGATCAGAACGCCTCCTTGCTGGCCTTGCTTCCTTTTCACCAGGCAGCACTACTGACGACCGATTCGATCTCCTTAAACGCCGCACCAAATCGTCCTCCATATCAAGAAGGGGTTGCATAGCGGCGTCTCCCTTCGTCTTGAAGAGGCCAAGTTCTATAGGAAGTGTGTAGTCTCTGGTGTGCCCATCGTTGAGTTCCTGCTTCCAAAATGCGTAATTAAACTCAAACGTTTTTTTACATTCATGAATGACGGGGAAGTCGTGGTAGCGCCAAAGGGAGCTCCAAACCGGCTGAAGAAGAAACAAAAATAGGAAGCAAACAAAAATAAATAAGGCAAACAAGAATAAAGATGGTTGTGAATACTAACCGTGGCCATATAATTCATGAACATATTTTGATTGTAGCTGAACTTCTCATTATGAACTTCGCGATCGAAGTAGAGGAGATCACGAGGAAGGTGGTAGAAGTTCTCATCGTCCGTCTGACAACCAGAATACAAATTCAATCGTATTGGTGTGTGCCTCACTTGTTGATAAAATTCTTCTACAACTCGATATGACCATTCAATGTGTTGATCTAAGGGCAACACAGCGTGTCCCAAATCTGCAGCTTTGATGCAAATTTTTGCAACTTTCCTGATGTGGAAACACAATTTTTTCTGTTTGATTAATTCTAACCGACCAAGCATCTTCGTTTGAGTTAAGAGGATCAAATTTTGGATTAGCGCACTGAAGTCTAAATTCGCCTGCATATTTCGCACTATGAACCATATCAGTAGCAAGAATCAGTTCCACTATGCGCCTTCGAATGACGGGTAGATCACCAGTTATAACATTGGCGAAGATATTGGCCGTTTGCCTGTAAGAAGAATTGATAAGAAGAAGGAAATCTTGTAGAATTTCCAGGAAAAGGAGATTTTCTAACGTCGAGGTCTGAATCGAGTATGATAACTCTCACCCCTCAAGCAAAGACAGCAGAAGCGCTGCGTGCATGTTTTCAAGTGGAGATTGTTCGTTGTACAAAATAAACTGAAAGAATGACCACAAAGCGTAACAAAGTAGACGTTGCCAAGGAAGCAGGGTTTACGCAATTGATATGAACTAGGAAGCAGCGTTTATATGAACTCACGAGAGGATCCCTGAACTTTCTCAGATAGCTCGTTGTTCGACCTGGATGGCCGGCTGAGAGAAAAGCATAGTCCCACATGCCACATGTGTCATGAACTTGCCGTCATGGCCCATGCACGCAACGATAAACGCAAGAATTTCAAGGCTACCGAATGAAACGCCACTACCGCAAATGAAAAATGATAATTGGATGTATTGGAAATCACTTGCTTCTTAACAATTCCAAATGTCCGCAGGAGAATACAGCCTTGATGCCCCACAGCGAGTCCATGCAAACTGTTATGATACGGATTTCTAAGGTAGAGATCCTCTAAGCGTTGTAAGAACTCCGAAAGAACTAGATCAGGAATAAGAACATCCTTAACGAATGGAGATACAAGATGCTTCCCGAGCACCGGCAGTGGACGTTCTAATTTAACCTAATGGCCAGAATTACAAGTCCGAATCCTTATTTTCCATGGTTGAGAGGTGGAAGAGAAACAACATCAGCATTCACTCACCTGTAATAGATTCAACGTCATTTCATGGCCCAACTGATCCATGATTTTCTGCGGCACCTCCCACTGAAAGGAAAGCGCCACCAGTGATTAGTTGAAGGAGAAGTTTTGGGACATAGGGGGAAATTCTAACGACTTACCGTTTCTGTTGGCGTCACAGCAATTAAGCCGCTGATGAGGTCGTGTTCACTCTCTTCCGATGTCTTTCTGGACGATCCGGGCGACCCTCCAGGCAGAACTGATCCTCGGCGTCCCGGTTTCGCCTCTGCAGGATCGCCGTAAAGCAATTGATAAGCGCCGCCCTCCTCTGCTGTGTAAGTAACCGTTCGAGTATCCGCTGGACCTTCATAGTCCGTTTTTCCAAGATCGTCTAAATCTGGCCCCGCACGAAGGATCACCGAAGTCATTTGTTCAAGCAGTCCCTCGCAAATGTCTAACGGCCGGAAATTCTTTAAGCGTCTCGCTTCCATTAACGCCACTTGACACTAAAGAAGAGCATCAACGAGAACAACACACTATTGGGACATCGCACCTCTTTTGTTGCTTCTATCAACTGCTCGGCCCTTGACATCTTCGATAATGAAAACACTGAATCCTCTTTTGCGATTCGCAGTCCTCTCTGCAATAAATGGGGTGATTATTTGCAACAATTGAGCATAACAAATAAAGCAATTAAACTATTTGCACAATTGAGGCCATCTCTTCAGTCAATCATTCAGCCCTAGTCTACAGCTCTATCATGATGACGTACAATATGACGGAAAGTTTCGAATCGTTCAAGCAGCTCAATCTGGTACCGAATCGAATAGAACATAAAAGCGAGCACTGGAGTGAACAACAACCGCGCAAGATCAAAGCTGCAAAAATGCTAAAAATAAAAAGGAAATTTTCTATTCGTCTTACTTTGAAACAGCAACTCCGAATACAACGTGGAAGACCAGCATGACGCAAGGAAGGACGCCGATAACGCAATGAGCGGGAAAAATGGCAAGCACTCTGGCGAACATAACAAAATTCTGCTTGAATAAGTTTGCACTTTGGAATATGTTTCATTTCTACATTGAATAAGTTTTGAATTCGCTCACCTTGCAGGAAAAAACGCATCTTGGAACAGCACAGACGTGAAAACATGCGTAAAGTATGGAGTGAATTGAGCTGCAGAAAGATTTTCGCGTTGTAACAAAAAATAATTAATCTCAATAATTGCCAATTCCTGATAAGATGGAGAGACAAATTAAAAATTCTCATCAAGACGCATCGGGCACTAGTGGATCATCAAGCGAGACCGTTTAATGTGAATATCTGAACAAAAATCCAACGCACCAGAGCGGAAAGCCACGAAGGAAAATATTCCATCACTTTGACGGAAACCAAATTCAGCCTTGCGGAAAAGCAGAGAGCAACGATTGAAAAGATGGACTGAATGAAAAATAATATATAATGAGTGCCACCTGAGAGAAAGAGAACGGTGGACACATGGATGCATAATAGTAGTGGTGATGGGAAAGATAACAGTAGCGATAGGAAAGATAAATAGAACTTGATGACATATTAAAAAATATATATACATATTCGACATACCCGGCCATTCATCGAGTCTCTC